CATTGAGTCTATAAGGCAAAAAAGACTCCGATATTTCAAAAGAGTCCACCCAAAAAAGAAAAGAAAAGCAAGGGTTCGGTATCGCTAGTGCATTTGTGTAACTTCGGATGCCGATCTCTGGCTCACAGCAACCGTTCTTGGACAGCTGTGAGGGAAGCATCAGGCCAGCGTCTCTGGAAGCATGCATTTCATTTGTCACCAGTAAGCAGGCGTTCGTGCAGAACGGTGTGTGTGTGTGTGTGTGTGTGTATGTGTAGACCCGTGCGCGCACACGTCTGGTGTGTGCTGTGTATCTACATAGCTTTGCACAAGTATGTGCACAGACGTGCTGACACACACAGCGAGTGAAGCAGACATGAGCAGAATGAGGCGACAGCGCTCCCTGCCTCCTGAGTCCCGGTTCGGGGGCCGAGACCCGGCTGAACAAGAGTGTAAAGGAGACAGTTCAGAATTGTGACGTAAACTTTGTCTTCAGCTTTTCACGAACCTTCTAGTTCTCCTCCGTGTGTATTACTAACACAGATGGCATTCTCTCCCCGAAAACTCCCCTGTCTCAGCCTTGCCTACTTTGGGGGGTCTACGTTTTGTCTACATTTCTGTCTACGTTTGGGTTCTCGATGCTGGAAAGGAAAATCCATTTACGGAAAGAGCTTCATGCAGCACGAGACCCAGAAGCCAGAGACGAACCTCCTGCACTCTCTGCGGTCATAGCAGAGAGAATACCGTCCCTCACTGTCCGGGGAAGGATTGCCAGCTCCCTCAGCAGTCCCCTCCGCCCCATTACTTCCCCTTCTATCTGTACCGGCTGACCTCACTGTGAACCTCGGGATGATGACGCGGGCTGACCACGTGGCTCTCACACAGGGATCTCCATCTTCACACGTCCAGCCCCAGCCCACGGCTTCCCATCCTGCCCTAAGACCTCCCTTTCTCCTACCCTAAAGTAAGAGGAGTCCGTGTGGGGCTGCCGAGGCACGGTCAACGTGTTCGAAACCACCAGCCGCTCCGCAGGAGAAAGATGAGGCTTTCTACTCCCAGCAAGAGCTCCAGTCTCGGGAGCTCACACAGGCAGTTCTACGCCATCCTGCCGGTCACTGTGAACCAGGAGCAAGAGCTCCAGTCTCGGGAGCTCACACAGGCAGTTCTACGCCATCCTGCTGGGTCACTGTGAACCAGGAGAAAGAGCTACAGTCTCGCAAACCCAAAGGGGCAGTTCCACCCTGTCCTATAGGGTCACTCACTATAAGTCAACCCAATCGATGATTGGGGGTGGCAGGGTCTGCGTCATAAGACATCACACCTCTGTCCCTAGAGGCTCACGCCAGGGGAACCCAGAGTCGTCTTCCTCCCCTCTCTCTTCCTGACCCATCTCCACAGCCCGTCAGGCCATCACCAAGCCAATTCCACCCTGACCCCCAGCCACCTCTCTTCGGCTCCTTGGCACAATCCCAGGCAAGCCACCCTCACCCCCGCCTGTGTCCCATCAATGGCTGCCCTGGCCCTTTCTGAGACGTCATCCACTTTGCAGCCAGCGTGCTGTTTTCAAGGTAAAGAAAGATCAGGGAGCTCACACTTCCACTTGAAGTCCCCCAGGGCTTCCCACTCCTTTTAGCATAAAGCCCCACATCTTTCGGGGCGCTCCAAAGTTCTTTCATCCAGCCTCCTCTGTGGGGTCACTGGCGGTGCCCCACTTCCTTCACATCTGAGAGGGCGACCTTTCACCTGGTGACCTAGTGGTGACAAATTGGGCGGTTAATTCAAAACAACCAGCAGACACTGCTGCTCAGTGGAAAGGCAGGAGTGATGACCCGGGAGCGCACGGGGCAGTTCTACGCGGCCCTGTAGGGTCACTGAGCCCAGAGGCACCGACTCGATGGCAGTGAGCGGGTTCACTTGGCTACCTCCTGTCACCAAAGCAGCTACAGAGAGCAGAAAGGAGTCATCGTCATACAGCAGCAGTTAAGCCAAGTGACAGACTAGAGATGGAAAGGGGAAAACACAGCCTCCCTTAGCAGACAGAGAAGCAGATTGACGCCCTGACTTTTCCTGCTGCCAAAGCAGCCCTGGAGAGGTCAGAGCAAGTGTATGAAGACATGGCATTTATGCCCGCTTTTCCAAGACTCGGACTCACCGGATGCATCAGGTCCATGGGAAAGAGAAAGGACGTGTATGTCGCTGTAAAACAATTTGACTGTCACTCCCAGTGTAATTGGAATCGCTATCTTCTTGGCTGGGTATCTTTGTGGTGCCTTAGAATCCTATTTTCTAGGCCATGTTAGACGTTCTCCTGGTTTTTAAATACCTCAAAGTCTGCCATGTGCGGCCTCCAACATTAACGCTCTGGGTACAGCTCATGCATGTAAAGCAATGGGAGAGCATGGAGACGCTTTAACCTTTTCTTTTAGTTTTTCAGATACGATTGTGATGCCATTGGGTGGGTTTCATTTGCCCTGCTGGTATAGTGATGACCTATTGGACTGCTAACTCCAAGGTCAGCAGTTCAAAATCAGCACCTCTCCAAAGGAAAAAAGACAGGCTTCTTGGTACAGTCTGATCAACCCACAGAGGCAGGCAGTCTGCTGCCCTGCACTACAGGGGCCTCTGCGTGGGAATCCACTCAGCGGCAGGGAGCGTAGTTTGTGAGTTGAGATGCTACGTGCTGCACAGTGTGATCCTCACTGACAGTTAACGTTTTGAAGGTGAACTGAAGTCTTGGTACTTTATAGGAAGGTGGGTCTTTAAGAATAAAAAAGAATGCTGAAGGCAAAGTGCCACCTTGTCTTAAGAGAAAGCATCAGCCAACAGATACTTGCATTTAAGTCATCCTTGTTGTCACGCAAAATCTAAAGGGCATTGAAATGGTCCCCCTCACTTCAGAAAATCGAAGTGCCACTTTAAGTGCATGTCCTTTTCGAATGTGGTGGCACACACCGGTGTCTCCTGAGGGTTTGGCCTCCTCCTCACAGCAAATGTCAAGCAGCAGCCCAAGGCTGGACTGTGGATTCCCGAGTGTCATGCGTCGGGTTTTCCCAGAGACCCCGAACTGGCCTGGGCGTGCTGTTCTGCTTTTGTTTCTTAACTAAGGAAAGGAGGACGCGAGGACCTAAATTAATATTGACTCCCATCGCAACAAAGTTTGAGGCCATCAAAGGTAAGGATCTGCGAAAGATGTCGATTTTGCTGGTTGCTACTTTGAAACGTGTGTCCAATCGGTTTTGCTATATAGGTCTCATTTCTTCGTCATCACTTCCTGAGACATTGATTGTCAGCTAAAATGGATGAACGAAATGCTGATGATGTCCACTCTCTTTTTTTAAAATTTTTTATGTCCACTCTCTTTGCTCCATCAGTAAACCGCTTTCTTTCTCTCCCCCGCCCCATTCCTCCTTTTCTTCTTCTCTCTCTCTGTCTTTTTTAGGACCTCGGGATACCGAAGGTGGGTCATATGAAGCGAATTCTTCAGGGAATTAAAGAGCTTGGGAGAAGCCCTGCCCCATCAGAGGTGTAATCTTAACGGTGCTGTTCCTGGAAAGAGAGGTCGCTGCTCCCCAATACACGGTCCTCGGACGAACCTGGCTGTTCGCGTAGTTTCTGCCTACATAAGGGGATACTACTGATGCACCTCAAAGGCTTGATATTTTGCTGTGTGTGGAAATTTAGATTTGAAACATTAGGAAATACTTTGGTGCAAAAAAAGAAAGAAAGAGAAATACATTCCATGAAGCCGTTTTCTGAATGTGCACACCTGACATGTTCAAAAATGCTCCTGTGAGTAAGCAGGTGGGAGACTGACCCCGATGTGTTATCTGAAAGGATACATTAGGCGTTCAGAATGTCAGCTCTCCTTAGGCCTGTCCCCTCTTCTGAAGGAATGTCTTTATTGTGCGACCACAAAACAAGGTGGCTGGAGGCATCGCCTCCTCCTTCAGGGGACTCGGCTAGATCCGGTCCTGAAGGTCAGATTGGCGCCATCTCGGGGACTGGGCACTCAGCAGTCAAAGAATATGGTTCAGGCCCCTCGATTGCTGTGACTGGCTGCAGATCTTGATGCACAGCGTTGCTGCCGAATTGCCTTTCTTTGTCTTGCCTGTCACGCCGAATCCCCTAATATTTCCACAGCCTTAATGTCACAGTTTTGATGGGGACCGTTTTCCATTTCTACCCATGTACCACTTTGTTGGTCACAGGCACTTTGCAGTCATTTCGTTTGGAATCGTGCATACCTATTTGATAGCCAGGAAGGGTGTCTGTGCCGTAATCCAGAAATTGCACACACCCTGTGTAAACCCAATTTTGTATCAGCAAATCCAAAAACATTTAAGAAAGTTCTCTGGACATTTTTCTAAAACCCCGTGCCCCGTTGCCTAACAAAACTTGTTATAGCTTACTATACTCAAATCCCCATGCTTTGCCCTGATGCCCCCTGGTGCTGTAAGGATTATTTCGTACTCTTTTTGGGTATCTAGTGTAGTCAGAGTGGATGCCCGGGAGTTTCCGAAGGTCTGAGGTCAGGTGTACCTTATGCTTACCCAGACTTGACCCACTGGTTAAAGTTAATCCTGACAGGAGCCTTCCAAGAAAAGAGATTTGAATTTTTGTTTAAGGGCTTTCCATTATTATTATTCATCACCATCAT